ACAGGGCTGACTCACTTCTGTATTCTCAGGGGTCGCTCTGTTCTTTGATGGCTGATAAGGACTGGAACAATCCGATCTCTTAGTGCATAACAGAGCTCTATAGGAAGGAAGGCATCACCCAGCAGTATGGATTTCACAGACGCAGAGGTAGAGGGAGTGGTGCATGCTGACCAGGCAGGCCACAAGGTGGCTGAATGAGCTCTCGTTGTGAGGAAGTGGGCACAAGCACGGGGCCGGGCACAGCCCGCCACCATGGGCTCCCTCCTCCTCAGATGTTGCCAGCAGCCCTTCAGTGCAGGTCATGTGAGATGGGAAGAAAAGCACTTTGTGCTTTGTGCAGGGACCTCCTGCCACTGCCTCACAAGCCACTCACCCAGCACCTCCAAAGTAATGGCCAGCGAGACAAAGATCCCACCGTGCCATAGAGCCATCTGCCGCCAGCTCCTCAGCACCTTCCAGATGGGCTCTTTGCAGCATGACAATGCACTGGCTACTTGCTGCTGCAGCCAAGCAGGAGGGGATGGAAAGGGGCAGTAGCAAAACCGACGCCCCCCCCCCCCGCCTGCACTGGGGGTCTGGCATCTACCAGGAGAGGGCTGCACACATCTGTGGGGGGGGGCAAGCCCCCTTGCCCCTGGCTAGCTATAGGCCTGCACCACTGTTGTATGTCTGGCATTAAAAAATTGCAGTTTAAATATCCCACGCATACAGAACTATAATATAAAATCGACCACTAGAGGGAGCAAAACATGTGAAGAAAAGGTGGGGGGAACCTGAAGCAATATGGACAAACAAGTGAGGGAAATGGGAATGCTGAAGAACCCCTGCTTTGTGAAGGAAAAGCTCATTCTTTTTAAACTGCATGTCTGTGTACTTATGTTATGGAATAAGTATCAAACCTGAGTTCCTCCAATGCATTCCATGTAAGGGCAGAGTAAGATTTGTGAGCATCGCAACAAGCCAGGACTGTGCACATTCTGGCTTAATGTCACACTTTGATGTGACATCCAAATACATCTATGTATCTGGTCACCCTACTTCCATAAAAGGAAATTCCTTTTTTTGGCCTGGTTGTGACTTTTCCGATGACTGGGCTGGAACAAAAGCAGCAACAGCCCCTGGCAGTCTAGCAAGATAATGGATGTTCCAAAATATTGGCAGGATATTGCTGGAGCTGATAGCAACTTGAAGGCATGACCATGACGGCCGGGCATCACTGAATGTACCTGGAAACAGCTGGAAAACTGGTTACATAAGCTTGAGCTTAAGAAATAGTTTGTTTGCAGGAAAGAATTTTGAAAGAGGAGCTGCTTGGGCTGATGAGGAAGGTAATTTGGCTGACAGAGGTTCCTCTGCAAGATACGAATCTTTCCGTAAGGGCCACATGATATTTCCTAATTATGGTTGTCAAAAGGCCGGGAGAAAAATGTCCTGTCCTTTTAACTGAGGGTTAATGGGATGCTATTCGCTTCCAAGCTGTGAAAAGCTTCAGCTGCAGACTTCCAGGACATTTTCCTCCAGGCCAGCTGGCAACCCTACTTCTCTCATGAGAGATGGGGGTCCATCCCACCACTGCAGAGAGACGCTGTTTCTGTTTGCTGTATTTGCTGCCCATCCATTTTTCACTTGCATGTTACAGGAACGGAAGACTGGTGTCCAGATGCTCAGAATCCAACAAGCTGGTAGAGTAGCATTTCACCCTCTCCACTCAGGTCTCTGCTGGCTTGTGACTCTGCTAGCTTGTAATAGGACTTGTGCTACTCAGCTCTACAAATAGAAAGAAATGGTTGGCGGCGGGGGGGGGGGAGAAATGGCTGGGGAAGACGGGGACAGATTGGTTGGGACGCTGTTTTCCCCTCTCTGATTCTACTTCTGCTATCATTTGACTCAAGCAGAGCGTCACCTCTCCCTGCTTTGCTTGGGAACCTAGCAGGGTTGCTGACTCACTCTGGGTTGGGAAATTCCTGGAGGTTTGGGGTAGAGGCTAGGGTTTGGGGAGGGGAAGGACTTCAGTGTGTGTGGGGGGAGGGTAAAGCCACGGAGCCCACCCTCCAAAGCAACCATTTTCTCCAGGGGAACTGGTCTCTGTAGTCTGGAGGTCAATTGTAATTCTAGGAGACTGCCAGGCTCCACCAAGAAGCTGGCAACCCTGGGACCTCAGTCTGCGTGCTCAGAGACAGACAGAAGAACCACCCGTGTACAAGCCCTGGATGAGTTGCGTGACAGCAGAGCACCTTCTCTCCTAGCTTCTCTTCCTCCCACTTCCATATCCAAAATAAGAGACATGGATCAAATCCATGGCTTGTTTCTTTCTAAAGGCTGATTTCCAGGAAAGCCAGAGTCACAAAGTGTCAGCCCTGCTGCATGCATGTTAAAATAATCTGGGGCGGGGGTGGGGAGCTCTTGCATTTCAGCCTTATGCTGCTCTTATCCAGCAGCAAACAAATTCCTAGACCAGTTGGACATTGCATCGGCCTTTTTGCATTCCAGGACAAGAAGAGCCGGTCTTGATGTTTAGAACGCCAATGAGCCTAGTAATCTCTTAACTAAATACAGAGATCCTTGATTTCCCAAAATGGAGTCTGTTTATTTCCAAATGTAAACAATTTCTTAAGGCAAACCCCTTCTTAATAGCATGTGCTCAGTTTTCTTAAAACCATGTAAAAGACTGCCTTTTCTGTAAATATCCTTTAGTTAGAAGGCACACATAAGCTGGAAATGGAGATCCACATAAACCAAGCAGATTCTGATCTAATGTTTTGATCCATCTGTTTCTAGTTGTAGAAATCCTGAAAGGGCAAATTTGTTGGTTTGGTTCAAGCTGGCTATGGCTCCAATGTGGTGTAGACCCAGGTTCGAATCCCCACTCAACCATGCTGAGTGAACTTGGACCAGTCATACTCCCTCATATGGTTGTTGTGAGGATAAAATGAATGAGATGAAGTAAGCTGCTTTGGGGGCACACAGGTGAGAAGGGGGGTATAAATGAAATAGACAGTGGTCAGCTATTGGAAAACCCAGCTGTTTGGTTTTCGGCCAGGATAACAGAGCTGAGTTAAAGTTCATCTCCTTCAACTATTATTTTTATTTACGGTTAAGGTTATTAATGTTTATTTATTTTTATATATATTGGAGACTTACTATCTCGTTTGAGAGAATAGAAATCATTCTATTTTGTCAGTATTCCCATGAAAATGATTTCCACTGCTCTAGAAGGCACATGGTGCCCAGGAGCACTGCAGCTAAGACAGTAGTCCTCAGTAGTTCTACTCAGAATCCTACTCGGGTTTATTTAATCAGGCTTACTTCCAGGAAAACATTCTTGGGATTTCATTGCAAGCAATATCTCAGGGGGAAACATTAGCAGGATCTCATCAAATCATAGGGTTGTCAGTCTCCAGGTAGTGGCTGGGGATATTCCAGACATACAACTGGTCTCCAGGTTCCAGAGATTAGTTCCCCTGGAGAAAATGGCCACTTTGGAAGGTGTACTTTATGGCATTATACCCCACTGAAGGAGAGCGTTTTGCCAGTAACAGAACAGAAGGTTTTGTACTTGCTTATCAAAAGGGACTGGCTTGATCCTTACGTAAAAGCTGAATTGCTACAATAGGAACGTAACCACAGAGCAACACGAGGCAGATAATTAATGAAGAATGAAAACTTCTGAAGAAGCTGTAACATGAAATGGGTCTACAACTATTTACTCATCTTGTTTTATATTGATTTATAATAACATAAGGATGAGCCCTGTTGAACATGGTGATATAAAATTATTTTAAGGGTTGTTATTGTTATTTCTCTATGTTAATGATAATTGTGAAATTCAGATGTAGTTTTACCAAATAAAGTATAGTAGTCCATATATCATAGTGACTGTTCTTTGTATTTAGTATGTAATTTACACTGTGATCTATTTGTTTTTCTACCCCTACAAATCTAAGCAGCGTTGCTTTCAATGAGAGATAGTTATTGATGGACTTCTCTCCCATTGGACCGATGGGACTTGAAAATATTTCACTTGAGATCGTGATAACCATGCTAAATTATAAATGGTCACCCCTTGTAATGGTAAAATGACTGGGCTCTGTGCCAAGCAAAACAAGCAAAACTAGGCCACTGACAAATGAGGAACGGGTTGGCAAATACTTGGAAGGTTATGCCTGGTGGAAGTAAGGCCCCACTATTTTCAGTGGAGCGTACTCAAAGGAAAGTGCATAGGACATAGCAGCCTTTTAAAAAGAAAGTAGATGTCACAGACAGAAAGGAGGGCTTGTAGGGCTGCCAGCTCCAGGTTGGGAAACTCCTGGAAATTTGGGGGCGGAGCCTGGGGGGAGCAGGGTTTGGGGAACGGCGGGACCTCAGGAAGGCACAATAATGCCGTAGGAGCCCCCCTCCAAAGCAGCCAGTTTCTCCAAAGGGGATTGATCTCTGTTGCCTGGAGATCAGTTATAATCCTGAGAAATCTCCAGGCCCCTCTTAGAAGTTGGCAACCCTCAGGAAGAGGCACAAAAAAACCTAAGTGGAATCTGATTCTCTTGATGGTCCAGCTACACAAGTCCTTTGTTTTCTGGGGGACAACAGGAGGACTTTGCATCACATGTGCAATGAGAGTGTTGTGCCCTACAGATACACACCGGCTCTTTTCTGTCTGTGACTACAGCAGACAGGAAGAAGGAGCACTTGCCTCCCCCCCCCCACACACACACTGCTTTTGCATCCTCAGACAGCCCCAGGGAGTCACTATTGCCTCCCTTGTGACACTTAGTAAGTAACATGATTTTTACAATAGAGCAACCAGCCGCTCAATGCATTCTAGCTAGGAAGTTATTTAACTAGCTGCTAAGTTAGCTTTTGCTGTAATCTAACCATACCTCTGGTATTCATTAACCACTGGTAAATATGACAAACATAACCCTATCCAGGATCAAGTAGGGGTCGGCTGCATTGTCAATGCACATTTATCTGATGGATACTTAATGTCATTCTCTTTTCGCTAGGAAGAGAAGCCAGTGGAGAAGAAGAAAGAAGGAAAGATTCTTGAAGAAAAACATAAGGATATTCATGGCAAAGACCTGAGAAGAAACAGATCTTCTGACCTAGCAAAAGAATGTAAAAAAGAAGAAAATGCCCAGAAGGCAAATCAAAAAGCAAAGGATGAGCCAGACAGTACTAAGAGAACTGGACAGGCCAAAGAAGAGAAGTCCTCCAAGGAGGAAAAGAAGGTCTCAAAGGAGAAAAACAAAACAGAGGACAAAAGTACAACTGCCAAAGTGAGAGGGGAAGAAAAGAATACAATGCCAAAAAATAAGTTAGCTGAAGACAAAGGAAAAGAGGAGAAGGCAACTAATTTAAAGAGAGGCACTGAGAAGACAGAAGACAAAAAAGGAACAGGAAGAACAGGAGATAAAAGTTCAATTTTGAAGCAGGGTTCAAAGACAGGAAGTGAAGAGAAATCACCCAGAGACAGCAAAGGAGCCTCAGAGGGGAAAAGCTCTAAACCAAGCGAGGAGAAATTGCCAAGAGACAGCAAAGTCACCTCAGATGGGAAGAGCTCTAAAGAAGACCAAGAGACTATAAAGGAGGTGACTCGTGATGGCAGCCCCCCTAAATCTGAGGAGACTTCTTCCAACCAGAACAAGGAAGATGAAGCTACCAGTATCTTTGATGAGCCACTGGAAAAAGTGAAGAATAATGATCCAGAGATGGTAGAGATTAACGTCAATAACGCTGACTGTATCAACAATGAAATCCTGGTGCGCTTTGCCGAAGCCTTAGAATTCAACACTGTGGTCAAGGTCTTTGCACTGGCCAACACCCATGCTGATGATCATGTTGCCTTTGCCATAGCCATAATGCTGAAGTCAAACAAGACTCTGACCAGCATAAACCTAGACTCTAATCACATAACAGGCAAAGGGATCCTTGCTATCTTCCGCGCACTGCTACAGAACAATACCCTGACAGAGCTGCGCTTTCACAACCAGAGGCACATTTGTGGAGGGAAAACTGAGATGGAGATAGCCAAGCTGCTGAAAGAAAACACTACCCTGCTGAAGCTGGGTTACCACTTTGAGCTAGCAGGACCCCGCATGACAGTCACCAACCTCCTGAGCAGGAACATGGACAAGCAGCGACAGAAACGTCTGCAGGAGCAGAAGCAGGCTCAGGGAAAGGGGGAGAAGAAGGATTTCCTGGAGGTGCCAAAGGCTGGAGGCCTGCCAGCTAGCTCACCTAAGGCTTCTCCAAAGCCGTCCCCTAAAACGTCCCCCTGGTCCTCTCCCAAACCTTCTCCTAAGAAAGCAGGAGCCCCGGATGCCCCTCCCCCACCTCCACCCCCTCTGGCCCCTCCCCTGGCCCCTCCCCTGATCGAAAACATAAGGAATTCTCTTTCCCCGGCAACTCAGAGGAAGATGGTAGAAAAGGCTCTTCCACCACAAGAGAAGAACTCCCGGGATCAGCTTCTGGCTGCCATTCGCTCCAGCAACCTCAAGCAGCTGAAGAAGGCAAGTAAAGGGAGGATGTGGAGGAGGTCCCCGCTGGCAGGGGACAGTAAGGGTATGACTGCCAGACCCAGGTTAGGAAACTCCTGGAGATTTAGGGATGGAGCCTGGAGAGGACAGGAACCTCAGTGGGGTACAATGCCATAGAGTCCGCCTTCCAAAGCATCCATTTTCTCCAGGGGAACTGATCTCTGTAGTTTGGAGGTGAGCTGTGATTCCAGAGGATCCCCAGGTCCCCCCTGCAGGCTGGCATCCCTGTCCCCCCCCAGTGGCCGGGGGGGGGGACACATGGCAACCCGAACTGGAGCTTATACCTCCGCCCATCAACCATGCTTTCGTGTCTGAAAAGGGGATATTTTCCCATCAGTTGTCTACTGAAGAAATATGGCTCTGAAATCTTGGCAAGGTCTGCCTCATGGATTTCAGGCCTAGAGTGACTCCTTTTGAAACTTAAATATCACTGAGGAGTGATACCCATTGTCAATTATCAAGCCCACAGAGAAAACTGAGGTCTGTGTGGTGATTAAAAGAATGATGGAGGAAAAGTGGTGAGATTTGGAAACGAGCATGAGAGCCCTGAGAAGCTTTAACTGACCCCATCCCATTGAAAAAACCAAATGATGGAGGGACATTTAACACATGATGTCTTTCTTGCAGTGAGGTAATCCTCACAAAATGTGCATATGCCCATGTGTGAAGAATGTGAGAGCATCTGTCACATGCTCACTTATTGAGAAAGCCAGCTCTGTGCTGACTAGCTTCCAAACATGTATATTCATGGTAAATAGGTACTTGTATATCCTTCACACATTATGGTATATGCACTCTGTACACATGGTCTTGGATCCTATACTTTTGTTCTGCAGGTGCTGCTTCTCTCCAGGTACTGCAGAGGCAGCCCTCTGCTTCGGGGTGCATTCGTCTCATGCTAGGCATTTTGGAGCTCCTTGAAAGACATTAGTCAAGCACATGTGGAAGAGCCCAGCAACAGAGGAAGCATGTTTTATGACAGAAGACTGCTTTCACAGTGTGCTCAGAGGGAAATGATCAGATCCAAGTAATTGTTTCCTTCATGTAGATTTGTCTAGGAAATAATGTATACAAAACATATATAATAAAAGGTGGGAAGGATAAACAATAAATCATCAGTTGGCTTCCTAAAACATACTCACAGCATATACCTCACAGTCCACGTGCTGCGTGCTTTTCCCTGCAGAAAGTTCAGTGTAACGAGACTACGTATACGAAACACCAAGACCGCAATGTACAAAGTACATTATAACTTATAAAAGATGAAGCAATTTTAATTTCCAAGGCTGTTAATGCAAATAATTTTCAAGCAAACCTTACATTGTTGTTCCACTTGATTTCAGACCCTATACTAACAAGCACACTTTTTTTTTTTAAATCTTGGCAGGTGGAGGTTCCCAAATTGCTGCAATAGGGGATGGAATCTAGACTTCCTGGAAGGATGAGATTTCCAAGGCTGAATCACCATGTTTGTCTCTCAGGTGACTGTTTACATGAAAAAGACTCAGCAGGAAAAAGCAGCCATGGGTCCTGCACCAGCCCCAGAAGACCAGCCTTCTCTATGGGATTAAATTGGAGGGGTGGACTGGACGGGCTGCCGAGCAGGCCTGGGTGTCAGGAAGAAGGGATATTTATTCTCTGAACTTCTAAAATCAGAAACTTTTGCTCCAAAAAGGGGGTTTGTAGAAGGTCATATACCTGGTCTGTTTGTCCAGTTTTTCTTCAGGAGAATTCAGAAAGTAAAGTGGCAGATATGGTAAGTCTTGAGAGAATCTGTACTCAGAACATCCCTGCTTGTCCTTCCAGTTACCAGGCAACAACACTGCAATCATCTGCCACTAGGAATACAAGAACAAAACCACACTGGAGCAGCCTCACTAGGAGAAAGCAACTGGGCCCAACTTCTGCACAAGATGACTCCAAAAGAAGTAGTACCAGAAGTAGCTACTAGAACCACCTGGCAACTCTGTTGTCATTCTTTCTGGAATCTAAACATGTAAGGAGGATGAGGGAGAAATCACTGGGCCAAATCCAATTGTCTATTATTTCTGTGATCTCTAGGATTCTGTTCCTCTGATAGTGCAAAAGACAGATGTATGTAGAACACGATTTCTCTAGCCTCCACAGGAGGTGTAAAGAACTCTGTATGTGTTTGTCTATAAAGTGTGTTAAGGGCTTCTTGTGGTATCAGGACCCTAGCAGTAAGCACAGGAGTGGGCAGTGGAACAGAACAGATTGGTGGGGGGGGGGGGGGGGGGGCTACATGCTGCCAGCAGCTTGGAAGTGAGCAGTATCTCCCAAACTAGTTTGGGAATCTATTAACCTGATGGGCCTGATGGGAAAGAAGAAACAGACTAAGGTTGGTCACTTGCTGGAGCTGGTAGAAAAGGCAAAGCCGTGAACCACACTGAAAAATTTCATGTAGTATCCCGGAGCTCAGGGTAAACACTGTCAACATCTTATTGATCATTCATCTTCCAGAGATGTCCTGAAAGAGATGAAGGCAGCATAAGATTCCTGCTTCCTACATGCAAGAGCCCTTATTTCCTGTAGAGACAGTGACATTTGGGGGGCCAGAAAGTTCCTGTGCCAGTTTCTCTTTTTAAAAATCATGTATGTTGATTTAAAGGTAAAGAAACCCCCAAGTTAAAGTGGCATTCAGAGCCTGTAGATCAACATCTGTTACACTGTGGTCCAGAATCCAAGACATTTGGTCTACGAAGATGTGTTCTCCAACTGAATGGAGTGCCTGCTCCACTTCCCTTGTTTCCTCCTCCATTTTAACCATGTGAGGCTCAATTCATATATTACCTTTGCAGCATGGTTGCCACAAAATACTCTTTTGAGGTTGGCTGTCATGTCACCTTCGGAATACATGGAAGTTCTACATCACATGGGTAGCCTGATCACATTCCACATTCAGCATCATCAGCCCTGTTGGAGGCAAGTACTCTGGTGAGAGAAGCACCCAGATAATTCAAACTACCCATGTGGTGCGGAGCATCCATATGCTACTGATTTAACATTTGAGACCACCACAGGGGAGGGGTTTTGCTGTGGCAAACGTGCCACAAGGGTGATGTATAAAGGGGGTCTGAGAAAGGAAAAGTAACAATCAGGTTTGGATCAGATCCTCTTTTTGGTGCCTGAGGGATGAGAATTGCTGAACTGCTGTTTTTTTCTATCTGAAGACCAAGAAGCTTGTCCTTTGGCTGAACAAAGTACGTCACATGAGCACTCCACTTGAAAGGGGCAGGAAGCATATAGACCCTCGTGTTTCACATGGAGAAAGATGCGCAAAAGGAGTTCAGCCATAACTGATCAGGGATGTGTTTTAGTTATTAGGAAGCAATTTCCTCACAAGGGTGAATAAAGGGCAGTTTGATCACAAGCCACTTGAGCTGGAACTCTTGGATAGTGCCTGTTCCATGCTCTTGGGAGTCAGTCCAAGTAGTGTAGCTTAACTGGTTTGTGACTCAGGCTGTGCATTTTTTAAAAAATCTAGGAATTTCTATAAGAGTTTTAATATATAGAAGAATGGATAAATCTAATGTCATTCTCCCCGGAGCAGAATTTTATTTCTCCCGCAAACTGCTAAAGCATTTCCGCGCTGAGATAACACCAAGTATTATTTATACCCCACCCAATCAAGAGCCCCCAAATAATTGCTACTCTGCAGCATGCCTGTGCTCGTGTCCACCTTTCCGTAAGGGATGTGTGAAGCGACGATGAGAGAGCACGGACAGAGACCCTGTCTGGCTTTCTTTCATGCCAGATGACCAGGTTAAAATTATGGAAGGAGGAATCCGGTTTACAAAACGCTAAGGAGAAAGTGGATTTATGTATTGCCTCAAAGAAAATCATGTTTCGTCTCTTAAAAACAGGGCACAGAGGAAATCCCTGCTTGCAAAGCAATCCTGGTCACCTGTTTAGGACGTGGGGGGTGGGGAGTGGAGAGGAAATAGAAGAGACAAATCACTTGAGCTCAAGTGCAGAGGCTGCTGCAGTTTTCAGCTCTGTAACTCATGAATGTAAATCGTCTTCATGTTATGTACAAATTCACGCACAACTTCATTAATAAAGCTCACACGATGCTGCTGATGGTGACTCGTGGAACATTCTGAAGCTGAGGGTGGTGAATATATTTAGATGCTGCGTAAGAGGGATGAAGCAGCCTTTATCTGCAGTGACAGGATGGGGACAACCTGGCTCTGTGTCACTGGGAGGCTGCATTTATGCACTTGGCACCCCTCCTCAAAGCCTAGGGTTGCCAACCTCCAGGCGGTGGCTGGAGATCTCCCAGAATTACAACTCCTCTCCAGATGGCAGAGATCAGTTCCCCCGAAGAAAATGGCTGCTGTGGAGTGTCATATCTGTGGCATTATACCTCACTGAGGTCCCTCCCTTCCCAAATCCTGCCCTCCACAGGCTCTACTTGCAGATCTTCAGGTATTTTCCAAGCAGGGGCTGGCATGGCACCCCTCTCATAGCCAACTTTCAAACAGCCCTATGAGCAAATTCACAGCTATTGCCATTTTAGAGGTGGGCAACTGAGGTTAAGAAATAATTACTTGCCCACATGGTGCTGGTTAAGCCTGGCATGGACTCCATGTTTCCTACCTTCAGGTCTGCAGCCATCTGCTGACACTGGCTCTAACAGCTGAGAAGCAAAGTGGAAATTTGACTCCTCTTGACACTGACTAGGGGATGGCAGAAACTTAAGATAACCAGCTGGGATGGGATGTTTCTGCCTGTGTACAAACACAAGGCCCCACCATGCCGTCTCGAGTGTGCTGGGAGTGGGGCCAGCTGAGAGGATCTTCTCCTTTCTGCTGCTGCCAGCACAGTGGGTTGCGTGCCAACTCTGTGAGAAGTCAATCATTGCTGAAGGTCTGGCTGACTCTGAACTGCTGCTTCTCAGAGTCCAGAGAAATGTCTATATTTGGGCATTTTGCATAGACTGGCTCAAGCAAACCTCATTCCTTTGCTCTTCCTAAGAGTGGGAAACCATCCAGCTGCCCAGAACAGCAGAGAAGAGAAAACAAAGTCCAGATCGCTACAGCCTCTCCGTAGGCCTTTCCCCAAGCTGGAGCAGTTTCCCTCTGTGGGTCTGATGAGGTCCATGCCATGCAATGTTCTTTTGCACCTACGGGTCCCCTAGCCATCCTCTGCCCTCACTTCCCTGTGTTGCTTTCACTTGTGCCCTGCAGGTGACAGATGAAAACAGAAAAGGGGGCCAAATAGCTTTTGGTGTGTAAGCGAGGGAAGCGATTATTCATCAGATCTGGTTGCAGGACCCTCTGAGTGGATGATGAATTTCAAAGGATTAATTTTCTAACAATAAAGAACAATTTTTGCCTCCAGATACTCAGATCAGAAATGAGAATATAATTGTGTTGCAAAAAACATAGCCTTGCCAACCACAGTTTCTAAGACAACAAGGCACACTGGCAAAAGCTATGATAGTCACTACCTCAACAACAAAAAATGTGCATTGTCCCAGCAAAACAGATATAGCTAGAGAGAATGTCCTAGATACTGATTTAGTTCACAACATCCATTAATACTGAGGTGAAAGGGATAGGATTGAGTATTAAACTGCATGAAAAGTATGCAAATGAGCATCAAACACATGTGATACCAGATTTCATTTGTGCATTCAATTTCATGCTTTAATGTGGGTATGGTTCCATGAAGTTGTGTAAGTGGTCCACTGTTCATGGAGACGGCATTAGAGGAATGGCATCAACGTCTTACAGGGTTTTGAAGGGAAGCGTGCGGGGGTCACCAACACCTATTTTTCTGAACATCTATAGAACATGCTGTTTCAGTCAGTGCAAGCCAGGCAAGCACTTTAACTATGCATCCATTTATTATTTATTTGTAAAATATATGTCCTATTTTTCTACTGTGCAGAAAGAGGCTTCCAGTAATAGTAACCCCCCCAATGATAACATAAAGCAACAGTGACCAACAATCAACAGCCATGACAAAAGGAAAAATATAGCCCCACCATGGAAACAACAGTTTCCCCCAACACACTTTAAGACCACTAATCATAGTATCATTAAACTGACAGAACTGACACAACAATACACATTGCAACAACCAACTCCAGAACAGTGCAACTTTAGTTACAACGGAGATCCATGATAATATGATATCCAATTTCACACTGAAATAAGGCAGTCTTACAGTTTTCTGAACCTTGTGAAAGAAAAAGCCCTACTCTCCTCTTCTGGCTGGCTCTATATCTCATTTAGGCCAGTTGTCCCTTGTAAAAGGCCTCCCACAAGAGGTGCTGGGTCAACCTGAGTTGGTAGGCAGACCTAGGAAGAGGGTTCCAACTTAAGTTAAAGCTTAAGACCAGCACCTTACATCCTGGCAGGAAACAAATATGTAGCCAATTCAACTGTTATAAAATTAATGTTCTATATGTGTTATGCTCATATCAATCAAATGGTGGGCTGCTGTTTTTTTGTACAGACTGATACCTTCAAGGGAAGTTCCATGTAGAGTGTGACGCAGTATCTCAATTTGGAGGTTACAGAAGCCTCACTGTATGTAGGTCAAGAAGATGAAAACAGGTGTTGAATCAAAGCAAATGATAACAAGCATTCCTGACGACTGCACCAACCTGTTTCACAAGAGCAAGTCCAGAAGCTCAGCCAGGTTCTTACGATCAGACAGAATCAACAATCCCATCTGGCCTAGTTAGATAAATTGAATGCTGAGTAAACATATTAAGACCTAAAACAGTTTGGGCTACCCACAAAGAATCCATGATCTCTCTCTGACCCATACCCAGATGGATGAGAGTGCCACAGGGCAACAGGAATCATGGATGCTACCTGCTTGGGTAACATGGCCACTGAGGGCAGCCACTGTGGTTATTCCCAAAAGAAATCCTCTCCCTTGTATTTAATATGCCATAAAACCCACTGTGAACATACCACTCTTGGTTCAAAGGGACAACTTCCCTTGGTACTTTGTACCTTAATGCACAGCATGAGAAACTCATTTAATACAATCCCTCCCCATCATCACTCAAGGGCTGCAGTCACACAGACTAAATAATCCACTTTCAGTGCACTTTCCAACTGGATTTTACTGTGTGAACTGGCAAAATCCATTTGGAAAGTGGATTGAAAGTGGATTATTTAGCCTAGGATGCCCTTTTCCTTTCACAACAATGAATAACGGAAGCCCACTCATCAGGGA